CCCAACTCATCTCTCACTAGAAATGAGAGAGCAATTGCTAAACGTCAAAACCTCCTGAACTCAGGCAACTGTCTGATTTCAGGAGGTCTGACGTTTAGCAATTGGAAAAAATAGGATGGCCAGATTGAAATCCTACCAAAAATATATGTGAACAGAGAGATTTGTTGCCGCTGTTGAAGATCACTACTAAAAATTGGAAAGCAATCAAAATTAAAGAAATTGAAATATATGTGATGAAATCTTTTATGATGCCATGCTTAGTAGTATTAATTTTCAATTAAAAACTATAAAAAAACATTAATTATTTGAGAGCTAAACCATTTATTCTTTTGATTAAGTATTGAATATTCAAAAATCAGTAGGTTTAATATACCAGAAAAAAGGATTTAAATAGTTTCTCCATGTGTTAAATGGATACATATATTATAAGTATTAGTCTTAATAAATGTTGGGTGTTAATTTTAATGTAATTAAATTTAAAATTTAATTAATTTAATTGCCATACAATTTTTATTTTGACTGATCTGGCTACAATGCAAAATGTTATATAAAACGCCAATTTTGAGGAGCTCTCACACTGAAATAAGTTGGGCATCTCTTTATCCCTGGCTAAAACAATACATTCATAACATATAAGGATTCGTGATTGTGTTGAAAACTAAAACGTCTTGAAGCACGTAGATTTGGTTTTATCTTTTTACATTTAGCACTTAACATGGCGCAGATTTAGGGTATAAAAGCACGCGTATGAGTAGATTTCGAAATTCTACCTATTTGATGTTCGAGGAGTCGGCCTTCTAGGTACGCTATCTAAAAGCTTATCATATGGGTCTCTCTGTCCAGAAATAGCTTTGTCCCAAATCGCTTCTTCGTCAGGCGCATGTGTTGAATTTTCTCATTTAATATCCATGAGAGCATCCAAACAAAATATACAGTTTCAATGTATGCATATATATATCTATACAGTACATATATATTTACATACATTCGTAAGTATATAGATGTATATACATATATAGCGTTAAGGACATTGCATGGTAGATACTTATTATATAAAATTACTGTCGCCTCAATTGGCCAATGACAACCATTCATATGGTTGGATTTCAAATCTAAATTCAGCTACACTGAAGGGTGGGTCGGAAAAACGACACGCCTCACATGAATAATGAAAATTTGTCCTTCCCAAATAAACTGGAGTTAGTGAAACTCATCATAGAATTCTTTATCATACGGTTGTCTAGTTGTAAAATCTGTTCGGGTCCGTTTAGTTTAAACAATCGTGAATTCTTGTGAATAAAGTACTTTAGATATAATTATGTGCGTGTTTTTATATTAGTCGTTTCATAATTCATTAATTTGTAATTCATAGTTAGTTTTGGATCGGTGCTAATATGTGCATATACATACAAACATACATGTGAAAGGTGCCGTTGTTTACGAGTCAACGGTGTGAGAAAGAAAATCGAATGATAAATAATATGTTCCATCTTTATTAAGAAAATAGTATTTAAAAGTTTTAAGAAAGAAAATTATAACAAGTTCCTCAAATTTCTATTCGCTAATATCTTGTCCTGCATATTTATATGCGGGATATAAATAGATTCAAAACCAGTGCTTCAAAATTTATTCGCCGACGACTTTTGACGCCTCTCGGGCGTTTAAGCTCGAGGAGGATTTTGTAGGGAGTTGTGTAACAATGTCGATGTATTCAACGACGGATAAAATGAAAATGTCTGCTCCTACCTGCTTTCCTGGTCGATACAGCCCGACTTACAGAGGTCCGGATCAAATGAGGAGATGTATGCCGAATCCTTCTGTAAGTATAATAAAAGTGTGTAACTCTAAATTAGTGGGAAATTGGTATCTTTGAAAGTTAAAGAAGTCAAAAAACAAAAGGATAATTTAAATATCAAGATATTCGATGTGGTGTATACATTAGACTGCTTTTTTTTTTTGAACTATTTTTTTTTTCGATCCCATGGTGAAATTTTTTTGGAAATACCAAAAAAAAAATTCCCTAAAAATTTGGGACTTTAATTTTAATATTAAGTAC